CTGTCCATAGCGTTCCTTGACAGCGTCGTTTCTAAGTCACCAATTTCCTCCTACTTGGTCCCAATTTAATTTCCTATTGGGAACCTACTAGCACTAAATTGCTAACTGGTTAGAAAAATGCTTCTGAGACACCAGCCACAACCAGACTTGCTTGCGAACCTCCCGCCACAACAATCCCACCCTCTTGATAATCGACCAATCAGATTCACTTAATTCACTTGTGTAAAGTCGGCACCATTTGGGAGAATTTGGAAATGCAACGGTTGGAACAGCTGCTTTTCTATGACTTTAATCTAAAAGCTATTTAAGTAGTACCTAGCTTGGCTAACAACTACCTTTAGCCATGAACAGCTAATCAGAATCCAGTGAGGAGGTCCTTTTTCTTAAGCTAATAGCTAGCTTAAAGATTTTAGCTATTGAAACTAAGAACTATTTAGGTTCAAACAGCTGGTCAGAAGTACATTTAGACTAAGTCATATATAAGTTAACAGCTAATGCATGTAGCTAAGAGCTACTAAGGTTAGCAGTTCAAAATCAAGCTATGGGCTCTTTCAATCATACTGGGCAAGCATGTGGTGACAGTTGGGATAAACACTTACCTTTCAACAGAAGGGTGTTTTTACCAGAAGGAGCTTCTTTTCGAACAACCATCTTTTACAAACAGCTAGGGGTTTGAGAAGACAGAAATCTGAGCTAATAGCTTTTCAAAGTTAGCTGAAACCCATGTAAGCATTTAGCTACTAGTCCTAACTCTTCTTCTTCTTCTTGTAAGGTTTTATGGTGGTTTGCAAACTAGTTAAAGTGCATTACCGCCACCAACTGATAAGGAGTAAAACGAGGAAACAGGAAGACTCACCCCTGCAAAAAAAAAAATGTATTAATATTTTTTCTGAACTGTTTAATTTAACCCAATATAATAAATAATCAAATTTGCCCTCATAATTTCTAATTTATCTTGTAACTTATCGTCACTCTTCCAGCTTCTGAGTGTCTTACTCGTTTTCCCATCATGCTGTCAACCATTTCCCAGTTTAAATCTTTCACTTCAAGGATCTTTTCTGCTATTATTTTGTTTTCTTTGTCGTCTGAGCACTGAGCACTACACTGATCACTTCTACCATGAAAAGAGCAAAATCTTCCTTTTTACAAATAATGAATCTTCTGCAATTTTGGGACACCGCTCCAGAGATTTTGAACTTGTCATTTGTCACTTTTCTTATCTCCTCAGGTCTTTTGCTCCCTTCACAACCTTAATATGCAGCAGCGTGTTCTCCAACACAGTTGCAGCATTTAATCTTTACTTCTTTGCACACCTTCCCCATCGTTGTTTGTCCTTACATACTGCTGCTATATGTCCAAATTTTTGGCATTTGAAGCCATCTCGGAGGTGGAGGATTGTATATTTTGACATTGCAGCTCATATAAACAATGAAAACCTTACTGGGTAATTGCTCCTCCTCAAATTTGAATAACACCTCTTACTTTTGCACCACTTTTATTTTCTAGAATCTGTTTATCAGTTATTTTAGAGGCACTCCTCCAATGACTCTTCTGCAAATCCTTTTGTTCTCCACCAAGTTGCACTGAACTCTTTCCCCTCAATCTTGTTAATTCGTATGGCTTTGCCTTGCTGAGGCTGTCTCTGCAGTTTATTAACAAGTCTACAGTATTCTGGCACTTCGGACCTCTCCTACAAGTTTATTGATTTTGTTAACTGATCTGGATTCCAATTTGCAAAAGAGTCTCCCTGATTAACTAGTTTGATATGACTTTGTAATCATTTTGATTTCCTGTGAAATTTCTAGATTGTTCATTACTTGACTGTTCTTAACTGAATTCCCCTTCAATTGATCTCTGCTCTCTTCCAAACGTCTTCATTTTCACTATTTCCTTCTTCCATCCGAGCAGAATCACTTCCTGTTTCCTCGATACTCACGACCCAGGACATTTCTCTATAATGCACAAACACGCTTCCTCCCGTCTTCACAGCGGCCCCTAATCCTAACTCTTTTTTTTTTTTTTTTTTCCTAAGGTCCTTTCTTTTCTGGATCTGATGCGGTACTGCACAGGTGTGTGCCTCCAGATCGCCTCCCACCTGCGCATCCGAGTCTTCAGCATCACACCGCAGGGCAACGCCCACCAGGACTGACAGCTTGCCCGGCGGGAGGAGGCGGAGGGAGACGCAGATCTCACTCCGCTTCTGAAAGCAGACGACCAACACGAGGAAAGACCCTTGACCCCGAGCCACTGCAGCCTTGACAAAGTAACCACCTCTAATTAAAAACTGCCTCACTCATAATGAAGAAAGAACAAACCAACCCAACATTTTAAACCAAAAAAAGGAAAAAAAAATCGCTTAAAAAGCTGTTCAACGGAGAATTGAGTGGAAATAAGTTGTTTTAAACTCTTAACTGCTGAAACCAATCAAATTTTAAGTGTAAATGGTGCATGTTGTTCATTTTTTCTCAACCAAAATACCAAATGTTTTTAATCTTATCAAATAATTATTTGAAATTTTTTTTTAATTCTCCACGGATTAGATAAATTTAAGTGATTTATTTTTTTCCCCCTAAATGCAACCCATTGTAATTGTATTTATTTAGTGTCTCAAAGTGACACAAATCAGGGATTTTATTAAATTAAAATTTCCAACAAAATCTAATTAGGTTTCCAATATAAAGGTGGTGGTTGTCAAGGAGTTTGTGAAGGGGTAAGAGTCACGTGTTGATGCTGAAAATGACGACAGGTCTTCTAGGTTGTTCTACAGACTTCACTCTCATTTAAAGGGAATTCACTTTTTCATTAGTCATTCTTGAAACATCCGTACTCCGGTACTTAGAGTGCTGTCGATTTGTGAAGCGTCAACACCAGACTTGTTCTGCTTTCTCATTTCTTCTCCCTAAAGGGCTAATTATGTATGATTGTACAGAAGTCAACTGAATACGCCTTAAATACTTTTGTTTGTAATTATTATTTTACTTGTTAGTATTTAAAGCAGATTTTTGTGTTTTTTTTTTTCTTCTCAGATGTTTTGTTTTTCCACTAAGGTTTACCAGGTACAGCAATAGTTACAGGTCTACTGGAACATTTTATTCTAAACTGTTCACCCACATGAGTGAATTTCATTTTGGTGTGATTTGTTTGGTAAAGTGAACATGAAATATTGTACTTTGACACATAATTTAGGTAGGCTGGGATCAGAAGGGAAATTTCCAGAAACGGATTTTACTTTGAAAAAAAAGTTCATCTCACATTGGGCTTTTACACCATTGCAGGCCACTAAAAAAAGGAAGGTGGTATTAACACTATTTTGCGTGATTTCCAGATGAATGTTTGAACTATGCATTAACGTGATTTGATTCCAATCGCCTCATTGTACCGTTCAGTAATGCAGTTAGGCATTTCTAATAACAGATGTGAATGAAAAGATTGTAATAAAGATCATATTTTTCATCGTGTTTACTGGTGCTGTCCATGGTGGGGAATCACTGCACTAAAAGCTCTTGTTCTGTCACGTGTTATATTCCTATCATTGGTTTCCTTCATGTGTCATTTTTATGCAGAGGTTAGCATGGGTAGTTTGGCTGATTTTCTATTCATTGACAACTCAAAGTTAATTCTTTCAAGTCTAGACCTGCAGGGTTTGTCTACAAGTCAATGGGGCACCGAGCTGCTTATTATGGATTTAACCTTTCTTACAAATCTTAGTGCAAAAGTTAGCGAAATTTCTCTAATCCACAGAGTTATATTTAGAGATTTTGTCCTAAATGCATGCACACACCTGCCAAAAAACAGTCTACTATTAAGCCACTAGGTCATTTCTTACTGTATTTGGGATAATTTTTCTCCATTGGTCTGAATGGTAGCCTCTGATGAATGGAAGGCAGTTGGATCAGAATTGCATAAAATGAAAAATCCTGTCTAGTTTAAAATGAAAATGGTTAAAACTAGGGATGCACGATATAATCTGCCCCCTATCGGTATCGGCCTTAAAACTGAATATCGGATATCGGCCACCCCACCGATATTTAACCCGATATTTGATCAGCTTCTGAGTTTCTAGAGTCTAAAAAAAAAAAAAAAAAAATACTACTTCTTCTTCTTCCTCAAAAACTTCTTTTTTACAGACTTAAAAACTTCTAAAGACGAGGGAAAAAATATTGATACATTAAAATATCAAACTTTCTTCATATGCTGATATATTGCCATATAAATCTCTTTTACTAATGAAATATTGCTATGTGTCAT